CAAGAATACTGCTGCAACCTTGTATAATTCTATTCACCATTAATATACTGAGTTATCATAAAACAAGAGTTCCACGCAGTCACTTTACACACAACTCCTGTTAGCCTTGAGCTATTCCCAATCTGTGAGTTGCAAACCCCAATGTCAAAAGCTGAGTTTCTGGGGACTGCAAGCTCTGACACAGTAATGGCAACTGTGGAGTTTGGATTGAATTCCAACAACATGTTCAGGTTTTCTTTCTGTCAGCCATGGTGTTCTCCGAGGCCCGATTTCTACTACAAACACAGCTTGTAAAAAAGTGGGTCTGCCCTTTCGCTTTCTGCGGGACACACCTCGTGGTTTTCAACCTCCTCGGCCACCACCGTCGACCCCCTCCCCCAACAGAATTCATCAACTACTCTTTACTCGCTCACCCTAACCAATTTTCACTTTGGGTTAACATAAAATCTAAGGCAATAAAATGGGGTCACATTGAAAAATGTTTGGGAAGCACCATCTTACATCTGTTATTCCTTATATTGTTAACTTAAGTGAAAAGTGATTTTCTTTGCTCAACTTCATCCGCTTGACACCAGTGATTTAGTTGGAATAAGACTAAATGGACAAGCAACTATTAGATTCCATTACATTTCTATTTTCAGTAGGCCAAACTCAGCAGGGCATTCGCAGGACTGTTGTAATTGGACTCGGTATCCCTAATATGAAAACTGGTTGGGGGGTGGGTTTGGTCGTGTGAGAAGAGAAATCAGAGAGGATTACTGCAGTCATATTACTCTCTCCAAATTTTGGTCTCCTCAAAGAATTTTCTTGAAGCCTACCTGCTTTTGATCACCTTCTCCTTATATCTCACTGTCCATTTATCTATAATTATACTTTGGTGAGTGTTTTGCTTTGTTCCACATCGACCCTTGGTTAAAAGTTTGCTTCCCTTTTAAAAACATTTCATATTAACTGGAGTTGGCGTGACACATCCTCCAGCTACTCAAAAGGTCACATTATAATGATAGTTGCAACAAGCAATACTTCACCCAGAGACAGACTAACTAATGTGTAAAGCTGATATTAAAACATTACAGAATTAACATGAAGATAGAATGTCAATGGGCTTGCTGTCATTACTTTTGACAATACCATTCTTCTGAATAACATTTGGCACAGAGGGATGAAATAGTACAAATAGTTAAAATTTCAAGAATGAAAGTGTGTAGTTTCATGCAATGCGAAAACAAATTAGGGATTGAGAATTAGCAACCAATATGTCAAATTAACAACTTGCACAATTTTCTAACTGCTGCCCTAAATAACCAATGCTCCCTCCCTGTCATTGCCATTTCAATTCCTCATCTCATTCGAACCGTGACCATTCAGTCTTTGGCTTTCTAAATCTCCAATACATTTTAAAAAGGAAAGCAAACATTTAATTAAGAGACATACAAGAATAATGAAAAGAAAAAATTAAATCCCTTGTATTGTAAACATTGGTTCATAATTTGTACTTTTCACAACAACAATTCGCATTTGTGTAGTAGTTTTAAATGTAGGGCAAAACATAACAAAACATTTTTTCAATGAAGCTGAACACAAGCTCAAGGAACATTGCCTTATCTTTCCATTTGCAACCCTCTAATCTTAATAGTGGTTTAAAAAAAAAGCTTCAAGCCTTAATGAATACTACTTTCTCTTCAGCAGTTCATTTTCAAATTTAAATGCATATAGAAGGGGAATGGCAGGCTGGACAGGTGATTTGGATGGGAATCCCCTACTGGAATACAATGCTGGCCCAGCACCCTTGCTGTCAACCTGCTTTTCTCCAAATTGCCAGTTTTTCATGCTTTCAATCAACAATCAACTCTAAGCTGCTCGGCTGTGCAAGTATGTAGCCACTCCAATGTTCCATGCAGGTTGATGGGTGTCAGCATGTCAATCATGGTATTGGCTGCTGTGCATGGGGCTCGGAGGCCCACGTGGCCGGTAAGAATATTGGAGGGAAAGCTGCTTCCAATACCATAAGCATCTCTGTTTTTCTTTGTTATGCCGCTTATCATTTCATGCTGATATTATTTCTGTACTTTGTCATCTGTTTGTCAGTAATAACATTACAGGTCATTTTATTCTCTTGCACGTAAGTACACAACCCCCCTTCCTTTGTTTTGGTTAATGAATGATTCTTCCAGTTGTGCTTAAGGGCCCACATGTGAAACTTCCACTACTCTCCACATTGCCTGAAATCACAAGCTTTTGGAGTGTTGCCCCTTCATCAGGTGAAGTATTGTGATATCAAATAAACCTGTTGGACTATAACCTGGTGTTGTGTGATTTCTGACTTTGTCCACCCCAGTCCAACACCGGTATCTACACAATGAATTTAGGGTATGTATCCAAGCAAAAGTCCCACAAAGCTGAAACAGTAATAGGAAATATTGGAAATATCCACCACCTTTTCAGGAAGAGAGTTCCAAAGACTCCAAAATGTAACCACTTAGCTTCTTTAAATAGGTAACCTCTTATCTTGAAACAGTGATCCCTAATTCTAGATTCTCCCATAATAGAAAACATCCTCCTCACATTCCAACTGCCAAACTCCTCAGGACCTTGTAAGTCATCTCTTCCTCTTCTAACCTCCAACAGATACAAGCAAAACATGTCCAACCTTTCCTCCTAAAGACAATCTGCCCATTCCATGTATTAATCTAGTAATGGTTCTCTGAGCTGCCACCAAAACATTCACATCTTTTCTTAAACCAGGTGATCAATACAGTATACAGTAGTCCAAATGTGGTCTGAGCATTACACAGCCTCAGCAGTACATGTCTGGTCTTGTTTTCTAGCACTCTTGAAATGGCTCTCTTTTGTCTAACTTTCACATCGCCTCGTCAAAGAATTCTAACAGATTTGTCAGGCATGATCTCCCTTTGATAAAGCCGTGCTGACTCAGCCCTATTTTGCCACGCACTTCCAAGCACTCTGCAATCTGATCCTTAATAATGAACCCTACAGTCTTATCAACGGCGAGCTCAGGATAACCAGCCTACAGTTTTCTGTCTTCTGCGCCCCTGACTTCTTAAACAGGGGTATTATATTAGCCACTTTCCATTCCTCCGGGACCCCCTCTGACTCCAGTGATTCTGAAAGTTCAACACCAATGCCTTGACAATCTCCTCAGCAATCTTCTTCAGAACTCTAGGGTGTAGTCCATCCGGTCAGGGTGATTTATCTGCCTTCAGACTTTTCAGCTTCCCCAACAGCTTCTCCTTGGTGATGGCTATTATACTCACCTCTGTCCCCTAACTCTCTTGAAGTTCTGGTATGCTGTTGGCGTCTTCCACTATGAAAATTGATGCAAAGTACCTGTTCAGTTCCTCTGCCATTTCTTTGTTCCTCATGACTACCTCTCCCGCCTAATTTTCCAGCAGTCCAATGTCCACTTCTGCCTCTCGGTTACCTTTTGAATATCTAAAAAAAAGTCTCGCAATGTTCTTATATATTACGAGCTAGCTTAGTCTCATATTTCATCTTCTCCACCCTTATTGTTTTTAGTTATCCTCTGCTGGTTTTTAAAGGCTTTCCAATCCTCTGACTTCTCATTAATCTTCACCACATTGTATGCTTTTCCTTTTGCTTTTATGCTGTCCCTAACTTTGGTTGTCAGCCATGGGAAGGTTGCAAAGTTCTGGACTTAATAATGGAGTTCAACACCTTCAAATTGTCAACCCTCTCATTCCTTCCCTTTCTTTTAACTTGACTTGTTACATTCTCTATCACCATGTCCATCCCCTCTCCCCACCCCAGTGAGACTGTCCTTTCCAGTCTGGCAGTTAGACATATCATTGTTCTGCCATTCTCATATTCCGATCACTTAATCTGAACTAACAACATCCTTTCTCCCCTCTCTACTATTGCATAAGTGCTGCTCCCTCCACAGTTCATGTCAGCTCTGATAAAAAGTTATCTAGACTTGAAACATTAGGTTGCTTTCTCTCCAATGGATTCTGCCTGGCCTGCCGTGATGTCCAGCAGTTTTGTTTTCTTCAGATGGAAGGTGAGCCAGAAAAGGAAGTTTGACAGAACAATCCTGCTTTCACAAGTTATAAAGATCAACACACTCTGTGCCAACCACCCATTTGTTGTCTGGTAGTAGTGAGTGACCTCAACCATTACGGGTTGGGTATATTTTCTGTCTGGTTAGCTAATGCTCATATGTGAACTGTTGCTTTCTAACAAAATACCTTAAAGGTACTCGTGAATAGTTGACCACCTATCTTGAGAATTTGTGGCTGTCATAAAGCCATGCAGCGCAGAAACAGATCCTTTGGTCCAACAAACTGTGTTGCTGAGACATCCCAATCTGACCTAGTCCCATTTGTCAGCATTTGGCCCATATCCCACAAAACCCTTCCGATTCATAAACCCATCCAGGTGCCTTTTAAATGTTGTAATTGTACCCGCCTTTACCCGCCTCCACCACCTCCTCTGGCAGCTCGTTCCAGACACACACCAGCCTTTGTGTGATAAAAGTTACCCTTCAGGCCCTTTTTAAACCTTTCCCCTCTCACCTTAAATCTATGCCCTCTACTTTTGGACTTACCCCACCCTGGGAAAAAGACCTTGCCTGTGCACCCTATCCATGCCCCTTATGATTTTATACACCTCTATAAGGATGCTCCAGGGAAAAATGTCCCAGCTTATCCAGCCTCTTCCTCTAGCTCAAACCCTCCAGTCCCAGCAACATTCTTGTAAATCTTTTCTATACTCTCTCAAGTTTAACAACATCTTGCCCATGGAAGGGCGACCAGAATTGTCCACAGTATTCCAGAAGCGGCCTCACCAATGTTTCCTGTACAGCTACAACACAACATCCCAACTCCTATACACAATGAAAGCAAGTGTCCCAAATGCCTTCATCACCATACCCAAAATAGTACATAAAGGCAGATAAATTAGCAACATAGTTACCTTGAATAGTACCTATTAAGAAACTAGAATATTTCATGTCATCTTACCTTCCAGAAGATCAAGAAACACCAGAAAAGCTGTATATACTTGTGTACTATCTGCAATGTCTAAAGCCATCATCTCTGTGTACTGAAAATAAGAAACAGAAGAAAATTATAGCACTCTAATCCAGTTGCATCATCTCTTTGTTTTATAATATATTTGTTTGGATTGCAAATGGACAGAATTACAAACTAAAGAGCAGACAGAGAAAATACAGATCAAGAATTCCCAAACTAGACATGAACTACATATACCGTCCATCCAAAAAAACATATCTCCTGGGATGGAGGCATTCAAAAAAGTACCCATACCAGAGCGAGGGATGAATAATACTATGTGTATGCAGAAAATGACAATCCTGTTTAACGCATAGTACGAAAATCCAGACAGGTCTCCTCTCATGAATTCTCAAGGACAGCACATCCACGAAAATATCCATGAATGGATCTTGTTGAAAAAAATATGATTTTTAGAAGGTAATTTTAATCAAGTGCAGAGACCATGGGTTGCACCTGTTCATGATCTTTTTAGCTTTTCAATTATTAGTCATTTTTAAACTGGGGATGATTGTCAAAGATCTTTTTTTGTGCTGACATAGTGCAAAATTAGCTGGCTGATATCAAAGAATCAAAGCCACAAAGAATCACAGATTAAGAGCTATATTTAATGTGATGAATATGAGATCAGATTAATACTACTTTTGTGGATTGTAGATTTTTTGGAACTGTCTGAGTCCATCCAACGTACAATCAATGTAGGAAATCAGCTGGGCATTGTGTGAAATCAGATTAAAATCTGAGTAATTGTTCCAAAGAACTCTTGGAAAAAAACATAGATGTAAAGTAATTGATGAAAGAAGCAGAAAGGACAGTGTAGTACATCTAATGTCACTGGACTAGTAGTTCAGAGGCCATGCTCATGTAATGGGGTTAAGAGTTCATATCCCATCACTGCATCTGATGGAAATTAAACTCAGTTAATAATTCTGGCATTCAAAACTAGTCTCAGGTTTGGAGACCATGGGACTATTGTTGATTAACTATGAAAACCCATTTGGTTCTCAGATATCTTTTAGGGAAGGAAATCTGCCATGCCTACCTGCTCTGACCTACATGGGATACCAGATCCACAGCAATGCGTTTGACTTTTAACTGAACTCTGAAAAGGCAGAGCAGAACTCTTAGTTCAAGAGTAATTAAGGCCAGCTGTACCTTGAAAAATTTTTTTAAGCAATGTGTTATGACGATCTAACATATTCTGCCTGAAAAGGCGAAGGCAGCAGATTCTCAATAGCAACTTTCAAAAGGAAACTGGATAAATACTTATTTGAGGCAACATTCGAAAGGCTATGCAATGACCAAGAGCTTTGAACTAACTTAATAGCTCTTTCAAAGAGCGAGTGAAGATATCCTGAGCCAAATCACCTTGTTCTGTATAATTCCACACACAATGTTTCACATTGACTGTTCTTCCACAGAAAGTAAGCTGCATATTAATTGATGGAGTGTATGTAAACTTGGCTGCATGAGGAAACTTGTGGGGTAACATGCTTCATTCTAGAAAGCTAGAGTTCCAGTGGCTGATAGTGCAAGAAACATTATATAGGAAAGTGTTAGAGAATTCAAGAAGCCTGGGGATGCGTTAGGTATGGAGGGATTTGAAGGTGAAAATATTAAATCCTAATTCTCTGAAATATGTGGTTCCAGTGAGGCTGAAGAAAGATAAGGGTGATACAAGTGAGAACCATGACTCCAACAATGTGAATAACTCCTAGCATTCTATGCCCCAGAAAATGTTTAGCAGCCAAAGACACCCTCCATGCTATTCTGGATCAGATACGTCTTCCACAGATATTTTTTTAAAACTGTTTATATGTAAATGAAGCATGAATACAAGAATTTTTACAGCAGAAAATCTTATTCCCATGACTCTCGTAAACAGAGACATCACATTTAAGTTATAAAGCTTTTCAAAGAATTGAGTATCAGCTGTCAGTGATACTGCCCACCTAAGTTAGAGTCAGTTGACTTTGATTTGATTTATTACTGTCAGCTGCCTAGGTAAAAAGTTTTGTTTTGCGTCCAGTACAGGCAGGTCATACCATACAAAGTACACAGGGTAAGAAAATAGAGCAAAGAATACAACATCCTGGCTGCAAGGGAAGGTGCACAGACAGCGGAATCAACATTAAATTTAGATTGCGAGAGATGGGGAGGCGATGGCCTAGTGGTATTATTGCTGGACAGTTAATCCAGAGACCCA